CCCCCGGGGGGGATGGCCACGCCGCAGTCCCTTCTCCTCCATTCTCCTCTTGGGATCTTGGGCACGCATGCACACACGCCTGGCATGAGTTTAAGCCACCGGGTCCGGGACTCGAACCGAGGTTGACTACATGGGAGTCCAGCGACAGCCATCACGCCAACTGCCGGTCCCCGTGTTTTACATTTTTGATTTATCCACGAGAGCATGTGCGTACCTGAGAGGGAGCACCCCGTACCGGGCTGGTCACCACTGACCTCTCCCTCTTGTCCCTCAGTCTGTCCGTTCCTGGGCATTGGTGCATGTGCCAGGCGTGTCCCAGGCTGACTGGGCCGGGGATTTGAACCGTGGCCGCCATGTAGGATCTGCTTCCGTCAGGGCATGGCAGACGTAGGAGCTGGGGGCTGGCTGGGAGTTCTCAGGCCTCCAAAGCCCCCAGGGGACGCTGGAGGCAGGCATCCCAGCCCCAGGGACAAGCTGTAGTGAGAACAGCTAGAAGCCGCCCCCAGCCTCAGGCTGCAGGCTGCGCCTGGCCGAGTGGGCGTGGGTGGGGGAAGCCTCTGGGAGGACCCGCTCCACAGGGGCAGGCCTTGCGAGGATGAGTGACCAGGGCTGCAGCGTGGGGCGCTGATTCCATCCAAGCCCAGTTCGGGGTCCCAGCCCCACTGGGACAGCGTGGCACCTCCTGTCTGGCTCCTGCCCTCCTTGGGCTTGTCCCAATCAGTCCCGGACTCAGTTCTCCCCTAAACGCAGGGAGGGTTCTTCCCAGGCCTGTCCCCGCTCCCCCCTTTGGCCCCTGCTAACCTGGGGGTGCTGGCTGCTCCCTGGGCAGGGTGACCAGTGCCCCAGGCCTAGGGGAAGAAGCAGCCGGCGACAGAGCGCGTCGAGGTGCCTTCAGGGGCCCCCGGGCCAGCACGGGGAACAAGGAGCCTCGGCAGGTTCTAGGAAGAGGTGCGGCCCTGAGGAGTCAGTGCATCCTCGGCCACGGCCGCGGGCTAGGGTAGTTGGCCTGCCCGAGACCCAGCAGCAGGACTCAGCCCAGTGCCAGGGTCCCGCGGGCTCTGGAGC